ATTAATTCAAATTGTCGTAGTTGGTTCCAATAATTAATAAAATTGTTTTTATTTAATTAGTGATCATCTGATATATTTACATTTTAAACCCGCTAAATCTATATAATTATTTTTGCTATATAAGTATTGAATTATATCCCATCGGGTAATGGATCCTCTGCTTTCAACCCATGTCTGGCATGCGATAAATCTGTAAAGAAGTAGCAATTATAATTAATAATGTATGTAATATAATGAAAAGATTAACACAAATATACTAGCTCATGTTAAATAATTACTTACCTATGTTTCCCCGTCTCTTATCACAAGATCTTTCTGGTATCACAGTTTGACTTTTTTTTGGTTGCGAGAGTTTGATTTGGTTATTCAGACCTCGTGCATCATTGAGATCTTGTCGAGAAATCATAGGAACAACCGACCCATGAGCATCTCTTTCAATCCCTGCCTCTAAATCACCATATATTGAAGAAAAATCACGCAAATGATGAAAGAACATACTATGGACAAAATATACAATGCTGTGACGAATTCCTCTTGTGATCGGAAGATTACCATGTAACAGGAGACGTGATGAAAATGCAACAACGTGATTGGGTTTAAGTGGTATAATTACTTCAAGTTCCGGAAAACACAATTCACCACCTTCAAAATCACCCAATGCAACCAAGCAACATAAAGAATTCGGATTATCATGTTCATCCCAGTGAAAATCGCTTCTTGTGTTGAAATTGATTGCAATCATCGGAAATATGCCGAAGGATCTTGGAGCAAATGCACCCCATTCCAATTTGCATAGTTTTTCATACAAACTTTTGTAATAATTCTCAACAAAATGATTAACAGAATTTGATAATGGTTTAAGACCACATATCAATTCATTAACACACTTTAGATGGTCAATATTATGGCTACTTGCACTATTCGAACTCGTATAGGGAAAGAGATTATTTAACGTGAATGCACCAAAATGCTCAATAAAATTTTTCCAAAAACTTTCGCTTCTATGTGATGGACATTTCAACATGTGGAAATAATAAGAATTGATAGCATTTGTCGCTTGTATCATGGCAGTTGGATCATTGAGATGGTCAAGATGCACTATTGTTCGGCCATCCATATCAGCAATACACTCTGGATCAATAATGAAACGAAATCCCACCAATCCATCAAGTGACCGAAAATTATCTCGTGCTAATATGATTAACTGGATCCTTTCTCTTTGGGTATTACGTTCAACGATAGTTGTGGAAAGAGCTTGCAAATCTTTATTATTTTGGACATCAAGAGCGTGTTGAAGCTTTCCCCACTGATTCTTAAGGTGTCGTCGTACCTCTCTTCTTTTGATTGGTTCCTTAAATCCTAAAAACTGTCCAAAAGCAATCCATTGTTCTTTATCTTCATCACAAGTAGAGATGGTAATATTATCATTCTTCGATGTATTAATAACATCAGTTTCAAGTAACCTCAAAAATATGCAGGAATTTCTGTTTCATGGTGTGAGGATGATTTCGGAGAGGTATCGCTAACCAACCTCGCTTCACGGATTAATGTCTCAATTAATAAATTTTTAGTTGAGACCCCTGATCGAGTTTTTATTTCTTTAGATGATTTACGATCTGAGGGTAAAAGAGGCACACTCGTCCATTCCTTTTCTAAATAATCGACCTTATCTTGAGTACATAGACCACGGGTAGCTTTCTGGGTTCGGTGCTTGATTATAAAAAAATACTAAATTTAAATAAAAAGCTCATCGCTAAGCGACTTGCAAAGTGCCAGATTATATTTTGCAGAACAAATGAAATCACCGTCGCTAAAACATGGGAGACTAATGGCTCCGTTATGTTCCATAACCCATATAAAAGCTAAGGCAAGTACATCTTATCAATACAAAAATAGTCTAGCACAAAGAAATGGTGATATATACTCGATTGGAATCAAAAATTATATTATCTGATTCGTGGGATATCTCAATTTGTTCTTGTTCATGCCTCTGTTTTTTATTTCTACGTGTTCGGGCCTGTCGCGATAACTTCTTCGCGGGTAGTGTTTTCTCTAATGTTACTTCTTTTCGCTTATTGGTCAAATTAGTTGTATCCATCGTAGCAGTTCGTGATTGGAATAAGTAAGAAAAAGGTTCACAGTATTTTATTAATAGCAGAGAAAAAAGACAAAAGCGACACTATTCACAAGAAAAAAGAAGTGTGGGAAGGTAAGTAACGTTGATAATCGGTAAGGGCTATATATACGACGATCCCCTGATAATTGCTGATATATTAATTGATCGAATATGTACTTATTAACTAATACATGTATCTCGGCAGGTGATATTTGGTCCATGCTTCGGATTTCGAATTCTGCAGGAATTTCGGCAATTATCCCGTCATGTTCGGCACTAACCTAGTATCTTGACACGAATGATAATAAGTGGATATCGCATATTAATTATTTTTCTAGTATAATACGACCAGTAAACATTCTCCAAAGTATGTATTATCACATCAGCAGAGTCAGCGAAACCAAGAAAAATTACTCAGCATGCATACGCATAATTAAAAAGGTCAAATCATATCTTTATTATTTTTTGTATTGAGAGAGTTAGAGGCCGGCTAAGTAAAAATGATAGAGAAACAGGATTTCAAGGGAGGAAATCTGCCGAGCCCTAACCCGTATGATGGCAGTTCCTTTCCCGCTACTCACTGTTACGTGTAACTGTTTTGCTATCGATCCAAGCACCTATTTTATCTAAGTTACTAAAGGACCAGAAATTACCAGAACTTTTTTTGTGAATTTTAGGATATACGCAAGATATATGCCCATGAAATTTTCAGCACCAAAAGTACTGGCTTACGCCAAAGGAATTCTGCGTAACAAAAAATATACCTAATAATAGACGTGTAACGAAAATACTAATACCACCAACTCCGATAATAATTCCAAACGTGGATATTGATCTCTGTGAATAGTGGACCAATTCAAATGATCAATCGATCTTCCGACTAACCCAATTAATTTCATTTTGTAATAGCCCACCTTCGATTATTCGTATTTTTAAATGAATGGAACTAACTTAGCTAAGTAATTTAATACCTCAAATCACTGGATATAGATTCGGGAACTAAATACCATTTCTTATATAACTAACCAATCGCAAAAATATACTATTGATCATGTGATCTCAAAAACCGTGAATAAAATTCACGATCGGAAAAGTCTCCATCAAATCATGTGATAATAGTTAACGTTAGCGAAATGTTTTTTATTGGCTGATGGTATAGTACGTATACATCTGATATAGGAAAACTATCTACCCATTATTTTGTAAATTTTTCGATCCTAGCTTTCTTACTGGCTGGGGAATTATCGACACTGATTCGGTCCTTTAATAACCCAACAATAACACCTAACACCCGTTTTACACCTTTTCTAATTGATTCAAGATCCTCTTCCAAAGCCATTTTAGAGAGATTAATTCGATATTCGCTTTTGCTGGTACAGTAAATACCATCCGTAGCAAAAACGATAAAATGCCATTCCGTGGCTAAAAAATATTAAGCAATGATTAGTGGAAAATCTAAAATTTCAGCCGGGGCGCCCCAGCCAAAAATTATTCCGAAAAATTCACGTATATACCTGTTGAAACTATCCCATAGAGATAATCGTAATCATCATCCTTGAAAGCTTCATCTGCGGTACGCTTCTTCTTATTGGTGTGGTATGCACTTTCTAGTTGCATGATATTCTGGAGGTAACCGATTTCAACGTTACGAGGCTTTCCTTCTGCTATGCACATAAGATCTTCGTTTCCTTTTATTGCATAATCGACACGTCCAGATGCCTCCTCAGCGGAAACTGCTTTTTGGTATGCTATGTAGATTTTTCTTCGTTAGTAATTCGTCGAACGATAGATAGAGATGCGTTTAATATTGATGTGATGAATACACAGCGAGTAGCTTCGTTAGCATTGGTCTGCATTGTTTCCAGATTTGAAAGTCTTAGCGTTATTTCGTTCATGCATTGTTCAAGGGCTTTGTCATCGTCATCGATTTCCTCGAACACTATACAATAGAAAAAACGTTAATATATAACCGATGTTTGATCGTTTCCTTGGGAAACGGTTTTTGCCGATCACTTTTGCCAAGAAAAAAAATAAAGCCTCACATACCCGGATTGAATTGTTTAATGTTCGTAATATCATCCCCATTGACTTTTATATTTGCGGAGTACGTCCTTTAGTTCTTCCAGCGTTTTATATGACGAAAAGCTACGTAGTTTTTGTTCCGATATCTCTTCGATAAAATCTATTAAAACCGTTGCAGGCCCTCCTTTCATTCCATAGCGTTCAAGTTTTTCCTCTGTTAATTTAAGAAAAGAAAGACCAGTAATCTCTTCTTTCCGCAAGATTTTGAAGTGGGATTCCTTAAGCTTTAGATTCCGTCTTTGTAGGTAGCTAATAAGCTCTTCCGTATCTAGATCCTTAACAACGTCAGCCATCGTGCGAGTTGACCTTTCTTCCGTCAAAGTAGAGGATGTAGAAACTGGCGATGAAGGTGAAGAAGCAGTAGGTGAAGACTTCTATCGTTTTTATAATGGTATATGGCGTAAAAAATCTGGTTTATGTGTCCTGCTGAGAAAAGCTAGGTAATGCAATGTCGGAAAGTGAAAATTTTTATTAAGCACTGAATGGAGCAAATATGTACCAACGTTGTTGATAATAATTGATATATGATGACCGCTTAATTGGTTAATCACGTAATGCGCCAATCATTATCCGCAAATTTGTATTTCAATTACGTATACAATTGAAATTTCTGTCACGTGAGGACGATACCTGATCGTGCAAATACCGAAACACAAAAATACGAATACAATTATACAACCACAAGGGCCAGCTTTATTGATATAGGAAAGTAAATTACAAGATAAAAATATGAACTCCAGAGACGCCTGGAAAACAAATACTCTTAATAAAATAAGCATAAATAGAATTACACACTAATAACTTACAATCCTTCTAATAAGTCAAAAACTGTCATCAGTATATGTCTGGTTTCAACAGTCATCTTCCCATGTGGTAAAGCGATCATCATATTTATTTCTCCCGGGAAATCATCATTATAAAATGTATGATGCATCAAAATCTGCTTTGTCCTCAATGGTAATAAATTTGTAAATGGATCTTCACTATCCGAAAGATCAATAATGCCAGATACTAGAGGAGCTTCTGATCTAATCGATGCCAAATCCAACCGTTCCAAATGGCAGATAACTTCGGTATATGCAAGCATGATAGTATTTGAGCATCCATTTTCTATCTTAGCTCTCTGAAGATAAAAATTATTACATCAGCATCAAATATTATAAAAAAAATTAGAAATCTGGTTTTTACTTACACATCTGCCTAATATAAATTCGATATTTTCTTGAATTATATCAACATTACGCTCTTGTTCTAAAGTTTAACACTGTATAGTAAAAAGTTATGAGAAAAAATGCATTTAGATCGTTCAATATAAACATGCTCACCTTCTCCTTTTCTTTGGTTTAAACATCCTTATAAAACATCCGACATTGTTCCTAAAATC